TGTTAGTTCCCTTATTTCTCTGTTAAGTTTCTGTCTGGCAGACCTGTCCACTGGTGAGAGTGAGGTGTTGAAATCTCCCACTATTAGTTTGATGTGTGATTTAAGCTTTAGTAATATTTCTTTTACAAATGTGGATGCCCTTGTATTTGGGACATAAATGTTCACAACTGAGACTTCAGCTTGATGGAATTTTCCTGTGATGAATATGAAATATCCTTATCCATCTCTTTTGACTAATTTTAGTTTGAAGTCTTTTTTTCTTAGATATAAGGTTAGCTTCACCAGCTTTTTTCTTAGGTCCATTTGATTGGAAAATCTTTTTCCAACACTTTACTCTGAGGTAATGTCTGTCTTTGAGGTCTTTGATGCAGCAGAAGGATAGGTCCTATTTTCTTACCCATTCAGTTAGCCTGTGTCTTTTTAGAGGAGAATTGAGCCCATTGATTTTAAGGGATATTAACAGCCAGTGATTGGTGGGGCTTGTAGCTCCAGGGATCACTCTTTCTCCAGGTGCAGATGGGGCCTGTGCCTCCAGTGGGGATGGTTGTTGGGGGTGGGCAGGATGTTGCTGCCTGGTCACTGAGGCTGCAGCAGGGAGGGGTGGGGCATGGGATGTACCCTGGGGGCAGGAGCAGAGCCTAGAGAGCAGGACTGTCCAGTCAGGAGCTCTGACACTCAACTCTTCCTCTAGGTGCTGGTGGGGCCTGTGGCCTTGCCATATTTAAAATTGGTATATCTCTATTTTTTCTTTTCTTGGACTATCCTCTAGAATGAGTTCAAATAAATGTATCAGTCAAGGGGCCGTGCACCTTATTCTTGTTTGTAGGCGTTGCCAAGTGAAAGACATAATCTTATTCATAATGTTTGTATTATATCAAGACAAATTTCAAATCAGTCAAATGCTTATAAAACAAAAAGGTTAAATCAGAAAAATGAGAGTATTTCGTTATGAACTGTGTTTCAAGTTTTTTTTTTTCAAAAATAGTTCCAAAGGCAGAGCACGGATATTTTGATTATATTGAAAAGATATAATAAAAAAGATCACTACATATCCAAATAAAAAAGAAAACAAATATATTCCAAAATGTACTTACAGCCCATTTAACATAAAAAACTATACTATTACATATGGTGTCTTTAAATGATTTAAATAATTCATGAAATCAAAAAAAGACAAAAGTGAGCTTCATGGAAAATGAAGAGTATATAGTTCCTAGTCATATAAGGCAATAATTTCATTCATGACAAGAGAAAAAAGACCAATATGATGCTGTATCATCATTGACAGACACAGGTAAAACCTAAGTCCTTGGTAAGACACTTCTCTAACAAGTTGTTAAGTGGGAAAATCTTCAACTTTATTGATGTTAAGGTAGAGTAGTGACATCTTATGGATTTCACTTGCCAATATCACTCATTATTGCAAAATAGAGCATTTTTTCTTTTCATATTTTTCAAACTAGAACATATAATTCTTGTGCTTCTAGGAATTTATCCTATGGGACCTATGTACAAAGTACATAATGAACAAGGTTCTCCAATTGCAGCATTGTCTGGAAGAATACCTGATTAGAACATCATTAATATCATTCTAAAGCAGACTAAGTAGATATGGCATCCATGCAACTGCATCAAAGAACAACATCTTGTAGATATCAGTGGATGAAAACAAAAATTCAAAGTGAGCTATATGACACATCCTCCCACTTAAAGAATAATAAGAAAATATGGAACAACATATAAAGGTATGCATAGATTTCTATACACTAACTGAATAATAGAAGCAAGTATAGCAAACTGGTAACCACAGGAACAGGAAATGGCAGACACAGATATAACAAAGGCATTTCACTATTTCCTTCTTCCTGTCATTCTTCCCTCTCTTCCTTCTAGGTTTTATTAGTCAATACTTAAAAAAAAAAAAACTAAAGGAGGGACTTCTTGAGAAGGTGAGGAAATAAGAGTAAGGTCAAAACATCTTTCTTATATCTGCAGAAAAATAAGCCAAGCCTATTAAGGCTCAACCAGAATAAAACTGAAACATAATTTAAAGAGCAAACTGTTGATGGCCTTTTCCGGGAAAGTGCTGCTCACATACTCTTCTCATCTCAGGACACCCTGGGCATGTACAGCCAACGGCAAACTTCCATCACTCTGGGAGAGGACTCGGATGCCCAGCCTGAGTAAACAAACCAAACTTCCCATGATACTCTGCTCCTCCTGGAACTGCTCATGTCACAGTTTTCTCTCTATCCCTCTCTATCTGCCAAGTAATGAACCTATTAACATAAATCTACAACATCTACTTTTGTCATAAGACAGAAAAGAAGAAGAAATTGCAAGCTAAACATTAAGTAGACCCATAGAGAATGCCCCTTTTAATTTTTATTTAAGTAATACATCAGAATAGACCTGAGTACTATCAAAGATAAGAATACGCAAAATAAACCATGCTAAGTCCTTTGAAAAAATTGGCAAGAAAATCAAGATAGCATGATAAAAGCTGGAAGAATATGTTTTTACAAAGGCTTGTGCCAAGAAACAAATATTTTAGAACACTGCCTTCATAACTTAAAAAATAAAAATGAAAGATAAGATACAGAGAGACAGTTCTGAAAGGGGGATGATATAATGGAAGAAGCCACTTAGTATATTAAATAGCTAATAATATCATCGTGGCATTTAACATATCTCCCAAAGCCAGAAAGAGCTCAATTGACCTTGTAGAGGGTTAAGCCTGGTATGTGGAACACAGTTTGACACACTCTTTCAAAAACCACGGTAAAAGAAAAAGAAATGAAAAAGTCAGAGGAGAGGGGTCGAGAAGAAGAGCAAGTGGCAGAAATCTGACATCTGGATAATTGATCTTCCTTGAGGAGAAAATGGAATTGCCCCATCCAAGCCATTTAAGAAATGGGGTTTTACACTTAGCACATTCTCCAGTTTACTTTTACTAAAACCTGAGAGGTACTTCAAAGATCCAATTCATTGATTCCCTGTCCAGATAGTGTGCTGTTTCTTCAGAAGCCAAATATGAGAGCAGAAACTCAAATTCCTTATCTTAAAATGAAAAAGTATATTTATTGGACAAAGGTCAGAGAAAGAGAAAAAGAGAGAGAACTGTAAAATCTATAGAACTGATATAGGGATTGATCAGGAATGGTAATAACAATTTGGGTATATACCCACTATTTTCTATGCACCAGAAACTACACAGAAGATGAGTTAATTTAACTATTACTGGCCACCCTATAAGGAGGCATGAGCATCACCTTCAGTACACTAGTCAGCAAGGAAGATCTGGGCCATTCAGAGGACAGCAGATACTCTAGCCTGGTCTATCTTTCTCCAGAATTTGTAGTTTTAACCACCTAGCATCTTTGTGTCTACATAAGATGCACGTCATTCCCAATGACAATGCTCACCCCACCTTAAGTATTCCTATGTGCTAGCCTCAGGGCTTGAAGGCATCCAGAGGCAGCCAATGAGGATTCACCAAGATTCAGTCTATAATAGGATTCTCAATCTGGAATTTCTTACACCAGTTGTTTTCATCATTTCTTCAATCTGTAATCTGTTGTTGGCCATAGCCCTGGGATATTTTAATTATTGAATAAAGCCTAGCATTGCTTGAACAGTAAAGCCTGGGTTCAAGATGTGCTAGGCTTGCTGACTTTCACATAAAACCTCAAGTGAATTGGTGACTGAAAGAAAATCCTGACTTTCTTAGACATATAATGAGATAGAAAAACCTGTCAATGATTTAATAGGGAAAAGAAACTCTTAATAGGAAGAAAGAAGCAAAACTGAAACTCAATAGGGTAACTAGATATGTTAAGCAAATGCACTAAAAATGGACAATATCCTGAATATCCCAATAAAATAATGAATTTCTACCAAGAAACCAGCAAGTGCACAGGCAGAAAAGGATGACCTAGAATAAGTAACAAGACAGCAGGTTGCCCTCAATTCTCTCTCTTCAAACTTAGGAAGAAAATAAAGACACACCCACTGGCTATGTAATACCATCCTCCTGAAGGCACAGGGAGCGCCTAGTACGGCAGGCTTCGGCAAAGTCTGGTGGTGGGTATGATAAAGAGCAATAGCAGACATACACATTAGCAAAATGACTCCTCATTTCTACTATAGAATACAATAATAATGTGGTGCCTATTTTAGAAAAGAGACATTGAAGCACAAAGAATTTCATAAACTGCCTAAGATCACACAGCAAGAACATGATAGACATTGGAATGTGAGCCCAATCCAGTGGTTCCAGAATCCATACTTTTTAGGATCAGATTGTTGTGAATATAAACAAATCATCCACAGTAAAAGGTGGTTGTACAAGCACTATGCCAACAATGAGGATGTAACAAACAGTGCATCTGGAATATCTTCTCTCTAAACCCCAAAATTTGGGGGTTTTCTTCATTTGATTTACCTATTATTGTAGAAGTGTACAATGTATGTACATGGACATGCCATGGCGAGCATGTGGAGGTCAAAGGACAATTATTCTGTGGAGTTGGTTCTCTCTTCCATCTTTACTTGGGCGCCGGGGATCAAACTTAGTCCTCGGCAGGTTCAGTGTTTACCTGCCGAGCCAGCTCCCTGCTCATGTTCTCCAAGTTTCATCTTAAACAACATCCCATTAGGAAAGTAATCTCTGTTCTCTATTCCAGACTAGCTCTGTCTAGCAGAGTATAACCAAGAAATGAGGTAACTCTAGCTCAGTTAAATGGGCTTTGACACAAGGAATTAGAAGAAACCAGAAGGAAGAGGAGGGACAAGAAATGAAGAGAGGCAGGAGCTCACTTCTCTCCCCTTCTCCTCAGTCTCTTGTTGTTCTCTTCTGCTGAGTCTATCTCAGAAGCACAGGACAAGGGTATTTTGTCACTCTGTGTGCTACAACACAGAAAAACAGGGGAGAATGGGGAATGCAGATAACCTTCCTTGTTCTAGCACCGAATTGCCCCCATAATGTCCTTACCGTCTTACTTGTTCATTGCTGCCTTCCAAACTGGGCCAGCCCTGGCATACGAATTTTAGATGCTCCATCAGGAAAAAGAATGTGTAATTAGTTGGCATCCTGTCACTGAATCCACCTTGTTCACTTCAAAACATACATGCCCAGGGTTTCTGTGGGTCAGTAGCTAATTGACAGAGACATTAGATAAGCCCCAGCATCATGGAACTCCTCTGATAAAAAAAGAAAAAAAGAAAAAAAAAGTTAAGGCTTAGTTGAGACTTAGTCAGACTGTACTGTAGTCAAAAAAAAAAGAAAAAAAAAAGTTAAGGCTTAGTTGAGACTTAGTCAGACTGTACTGTAGTCTCAAGTTCTTCCTCTTCTCCCTGTACCCTCTCAACCCAAAACATATAAGACATGTATGAGGTTAGCCACGTGTAATCCCAACACTTTTCTCATGGATTCTTGTTTAACTTGGATTGGTCATTATTGTCTCAAGGATTCCCCACCTCTTTTTCCTTACCTCCATTTCTTCCTTCCTTCTTCCCCCCTCTTCCCCAATGGTCTCTATTCCAGGCTGCCCCTGAACTCCCTGTGTAGATGAGAATGACCTTGAACTTCTGATTCTCCTGCCTCCTGAGTGCTGGGACTGCATGCATATGCAGCTTAGGCCCTAACCTGGGTACTTTGTGAACGATGTGCAAGCATTCTGCTAACTGTGCTACACCCCCAGATTCTCCAGTCATTTTCTCACACTGCTGAATCCATCTTGACAGTTGCTTTCCTGGAAAACTCACCCATCTCTAATTCCCTGGGGAGAATGTGGAGTTAGTTCCTTGTTACTGCACTGTTCTGAACCAAGTCAGAGCAGCTGACATACAGCAGGTGTTCAGGATGTTTAGTGGGAGGTTGATATGTGTTTTTGAAGGGATTCATTAATATCATTCAATAAGACTTCAGTGACAAGCTTTAGGCACAAATGGACTTAAGGCCACTAGTAAATACACTTCAGACGAGGACCCATGCAGTCACCTTACAGTTTGTTGCTTTCTCACATAAAAAGAATTCTGTATTCTTCATTAAACTATATCAGAGCTAAACATTCCTGGGCTTGACATAGAAGGTAACTCCTACAATTCTTCCTTGGCTTCCAAGCCAAAAAAGAGAGATAACTTTCATGTTAACATTTTGTAACTTTCAGTTTTCCATTTTCATTGAAATCTATGTGTATTCAAGATAAAGGGAATAAGACTGAGTAGACAAGGTCAGAGGAAGAGTAATTAATAGGATTGGTTTGTTGTCAATAAACTGAACACTTCAGGATTCAAGTCTTGTTTTTTTTTCTTCATAGCAGTAAACATTTGAGATGCCTAAATCAAAACAGAGATTACAAAAATAAAGCCTCACTGCTATGGGGCATTATCACATTCCTCCATCTAATTCCTTAGAAATTTGACAGCCAACAGAAAGAGGCTTAAAAAATAAACCAAATATGATGAAACAGTAAATTTGAACCTACTAGAATCATTTTCAATGATGTTGTCCTAACAGTCAAAAAGCACTGACCTTTTTATGGAAACCTCACTATTCTGTAATATGGCATTTCACCTGTTTTAACAATAGGTTAGAGTTCATTAACAACAAAGCAGAATAATTAACTATGGCTTTCTTGATCCAAAGAAAGATATTAGAAAGATAGCTGCTTATAAAATAGAAGAGAAGGCTGCAGACTAAGCACAGTTGGAATCTGTGACAGAAAAAAATAACTGGATGATGTCTCAGGGGGCCTCCAAGATGGTCTCAAGATGTTTCCAGCCTGCCAGAGCCTCTGTTTAAGATTCTTCCCCCTAGGTGTTTCAGTTTTAGAGCCTAGATCAGGGACCCTTCCCTTGATCTTGGATAACTATCCTGTTGTGTTGTGAATATGTTTGCTAAGCTAGAGATGTACCCCAAAGTAAAAAAAAAAAAAAATGAAGCTAATGCTGTGGTTGCAATGAACATAGACTCCGAAGCCAAAATCTAGACAGGCAAAGTTCACCTCTACCATTTCTGTGGCATATGAGTATAAGTGGGTTTCCCAACTTCTCTTGCCTTCAAAATTTTTGACCATAAAATGACTATTAGTACTGATAACATTATCTGTCTAGTAGTCTTTTTACAAAGATTGAGTAACTAAAAATGTTACTTTCTGAAAGAGTTTGTGTTATTTAAATGTAATTATTTCACCAAAAGTTGTTTCAGAATGTGGGAGCTGCCTTCTATGATACTGACTGAAAGAGACTCAATCACTTCAGCAGCCTCAGCTCAGTGCCCTGTTGTTGGATGTGCACAGTGATGCCAACATCTGACCTCACTATATAATGCTGAGAATGTGTACTTGGGATCTAGAAAGGCAACACAGCTTAAGTCAGCTGGAGATGCTGAGAGACACAGCTTAACCTTAGCAGGTCTAAGTGCCAAATACAAGTAGAGAGAAGAAAGGAGAGAGAAGCACACTTCAGGTTTACCACAGTCAGAACAAGACACCCTAAAGGTCTGATCCAATGAAATACAGGGTGCTACATGTCCATATGTATCAGTTAGACTATCTCTTGATTGGTTACTTGAATCCATATACTGATTTGTACATGGAACCCTCAACTTCAAGACACATCTACAAACAACATGAGATTCTGTCAATAGTAACTATAGTATTTCCCACTTTGTGTGCAATGAACTATTGATCATGTATTGATCTTTTAGCTGCATCCCTATACATCTTTGTCAGTAATATCTTTTCCAGATATGAAGGACAATATTTTTCTATTTGTAGTAAGTACTACCATATATTACAAGGACAAAATAATAGGCATTTTTTTGAAGTTGAGAATTTTATGGGAACAATTACATAAAACATATTGGTGACTTAGCCATTTCTAAATGAGCATTGTAGTTCAGTCACATCAATATGCAGTGTGTGGAGGATCCCAAGTGAAAAGTATCTTTTTCAATGCAGGCAACCTCAGTAAAAATATGCATACAGGGATAAATAGTACATCTCCAACTCTGACTCTTGCAAAATACAATAAAGTAACTTTATACGGAAGTGTGTATGAAAAATACGTTATCATAAGGATTCCAAGATAAATATCAATAAAAGGTTAAATAGTCTAAAACACCCAAAGAATATGTTCCCATGTATAAGCATCTATCTGTAAAAGCCCTAAGGAGAAAGACTGTGATTTATCTGTCATTGGCTGCTTCTGGAGAATAGTTTCTGTAGTTTCTGTATTTTCCTAGATATTTTTATTCCTCTACAAAGATGTCTAAGCATCTAGTTAAACTAAACTCAGGGGCTTGAAAAACTACATTCCTTTTCTGCTAATTGTGTTTTATTTGAAAATAATTTTCTGATCTCTAGGGACAGAAGTCCTAAATGCCATTCCTCCAATTCAAATTAGTCTTCCAAAGAGGAGAAGAAATTCTTAAAGAGATGGCTAAAGAAGAAAGAACATCTATTCTATACACAGTATGCTTAGGAAATATTTGTTGAACAAACAGCTCCAGGGACCCCAACTTGAACCTATGCTGCCACTACATTTCAGAAAACTCTGTCTGGACATATCAGGCAGACTAGTAAGAAAAACTTGACAGAAGTTTATTTGCTTCAGGGGATGAAGAACTTTCCAGAAAAACAAACAAACAAACAAAAAGCATCCTGAGAGAATAAAAAATTCCTTCCAAATAGAACACAGGTTGTCATTTATCTGTTTCCACTTCTTCCCTCTGGATGTCTGTCTGGATCCCATGAAGACAATGGGCCTCCTGATTAAGAGGACTTCCAAAGACTATTTCAAACAAATATTTGTGCCCACATATGCACATCACACATACACACACACACACACACACACACACACACACACGAGAGAGAGAGAGAGAGAGAGAGACAGAGACAGAGACAGAGACAGAGACAGAGACAGAGAGAGACAGAGGGGGGGGGAGAAAGATCCCAGAACAAAGTGAGAGAGGCCTTGCTCCCTGCCTCTCCAGTCACCTGTGTGCCCATCAGGAAATTTCACAGCCTAACTAGGAGAGTACAGCAGCCACAGGATAGACAACAGGCACCTCCAAGTTTTCAGGATTCCCTGGAATTCTCATTTCTGGGCTATAGGATATGCCTGAAGCAAGTGTCACCCACATATTAATCACCCTGTGCCAACGTGGTGAAGAAATAAAATAGTTCTCTCTCCCTAAGATCTACAATCAAACCTGGAAGACTATGATGCCACAGAAGGTATATTATAAAATAGGGAATATCTGGGTTTATTCTGGACAATGGTCTATGACCATTATCATTTTATCTTGGGTCCTATGGTTACAGGAAATCAATTCAAGCAATCCCTAAGCCCCTTAAAGATTTGCTTGACTTTTTAAAATATGCATTCTGAATTACTGCTTTCAAACATTTTAATATCATCTTGTCCCATCATATCTGATAAACAAAAAAAATTAACTCAGGCTGACATCGTCCCTACCTGAGACAAGATATTGAATTATCTAAGGATGTTCTAAATACCAACCTTTAAATGATAGCTGATCTGTAGAAGGCAGGTATTGTTTCTGACACCCATGTCATATCTCTAACTCCTCATTCTGCTGAGTGCTGCATCCTGTGATGCCAGCTAGCATGGAAAGCAGCAGTACACAACATGATGGGATGACTTAAAATTGAACGAAAGCCACTATTCAGCCTGAGTATCCATTTTATGTCATCCATTAGGAGAAATATAAGGGCAAAGAATGAAAGGTTATTTTCAACCATTGTTTAAAACATGCCGTGCTTTCTCGAACACTTGCATTAAATGTAGCTCCTTCTCTATAGCATTACTCCATGATTCATTATTGTGAAAGCCAATTTAAAAAAGTAAATCCTATGCCATTTCCCTAATCAACTTGCACTTATACATGCTGTCAGCTCATTCCATAATACTGTTTTTGGCTTGAAATCATGGGCTTTTTAAAATTCTGGAGTTGGAAAGGACCTAGGAGATAATATAGGTCAACCCACTTACCGCACTGATGAGGAAACAGTGCCAAGATGGAAGGAGATTTGTCCAAAGTCACATTGATAATTAGTGGCAAGGCTCCTGTTAGAAGCTGCATCCCTTTGCCGTCAGTGTCTCTCAACCGTACTGCATGGGGTAATGGCTGCTATGAGAAAAGCAGCAAGCTGGTGGGCACCTTCACATTA